CTGACAGCCCCTGGGGAAGGAAAAATGAGCTGGAGTTCATCCGGGTTTTATCTGCTGGGTTTAAATCTGGAGAGCTCCTGAGCTGAGCTAGAAAAACTCTGGAGCTCATCCCATGAGGGTTTAAAGCTGGAAAGGTCCTGAGCTGGGCTTGGGGAACTCTGGAGCTGATTCCACGTGGATTTAAATTGAAGAGCTTCCAAACAGGGCTTGGGGAGCTCTGGAGCTCATCCCATGAGGGTTTAAAGCTGGAGAACTCCTGAGCTGAGCTTGGAGAACTCTGGAGTTTATTCCATGTGGATTTAAAGACAGAAAGCTCCCGAATTGAGCCTGGGGAACTGTGGAGCTCACGCCATGAGGATTTAGAGCTGGAGAGGTCCCAAACTGATATTGGGGACCCCTGGAGCTCATCCCACGAGGATTTAAACGGGAGATCTCCCAAGCAGGGCCTGGGGACCCCTGTAGCTGATCAAACCCCCCATGCCCGGCCCCTCTGTCCCCCAGGATCCCCCATCCCCACCTGGGAGCCCGGGGCCGCTTGGAGCGACCCCAAAGGTGCCCGTGGGGTTGGGGGCACCGCCCTTTGAGGCAGCCTGTGAGGGGCCATGGGCGGCCCCTGCCCATCTGTCAGCCCCGGGCACCGCGCTGGCACCGGCGCTGGGAAAGAGGCGCTGAGGAGCCTTAATCCGCTCGGCTCCGCAATAATTACAGCCCGGTGACAGAGGCACTGACTGGAAATTGATGAATGTAATTAAAATCCCAGGGGGAGAGAGCGCGGAGATGGGGAGGGAGGGAGGAGAGCGCTGAGGAGCCGGGGGAGGTGTGGGGAGGGAAACCTGGGCTGGTTTAATTAATGAAAAACAACAGAAAACCAACTTATTTTTGAGAAATTCTTTGATAAATAGGAACTCATTGTTGATAAATTCTTATATTTTATTCTCTTAAAAAATTAAAAAATCACGGCCTGAAGGACAAACAGACCCAGCAGCTCTGAGCTGATGCGGGAAGCCAGGATTGCTCCAGCCCTTCCCTCCACAGAATCTGGGGTGCACAAGGAAGGGGCTGCAAACCCATGATCCTGATCTTTGGGGTGCCTCAGGCTCCAGGGCAGCCCTGGCTGGGATCATTCCGAGCTCTCCCACAAATCCCAGAGGATCCCATGGAAATTCTGTGAGTCCTTGGCAGGGCAGAGCTCGGATTGCACTGCCCAGGCCTGGTTGTTCTCACTCTTCTTCCCTCTTTAAAATCCCCCTTTTTTACCCTTTTAAGGACCTTTCCCTTCCTGTGTAGCCCCTCTGCAGAGGTGGGGTGAGATTTTTGTGGCTTTGCTGTGGATGAGGCTGGTGATGAACAGGTTTTTCCTGGAGAGAGGCATCTCCAGGGGAAATCATCATGGAATACCCGGGAATGGGGCTGCTCTCCCGGCCCTGGAGCTGGGGTGGAATTCCGAGGGGGATAAAGGAGCTGGCACGGAGCGCTGCTGTGTCCCAAGCACCTCGTTTCAGTGCCAGGGGGGTCTGGGTTCCATAGGGAAGGAGGGAAAGGACGGGGAAGGGTTTGTGCCCTCACCTCCAGGAGAACTTTGCCGCCCCATGGATCGGGGCGGGGATCAGCTGCCCCCCGCCCCCGTGCCCCTCCAGAGGGAGATGCTGTCCCCATCCCCCGCGCTGGGGACGGACGGGAAATGCGAGGAATGCTCAGATTTGGCTCATTAGCCCGAGCTCCCGCTGGCCCCGGTTTAAAACAACCGGCAGGGGCTTCCCTTGATCGGTGATGGATGCGGGCAGGGCAGACACCGAGCCCGGGGCCGGGCGGCCTCCCCTGCCCTGGGACTGGCACCGAGGGAGCTCCGGGCATCGGGGCTGGCATTGCCGGGGCCAGCTCGGACCGTCCCGGCTGGTCCTGCTCGGGTCCCCTTTCCCTTTGCCCGGGGCTCTGGGATGGGAGGGGAGAGGCTGTGCAGAGACAGGAGCACCCGAGGGGGCAGGGAGGGCACTGGGAACTTGTTTGGGCGCCCCAAAGATTTGGGAAAGCAGTGGGATCTTTCTGAGCACCCCAAGATCAGAGAGGACACGGAGCTGGCGTTCCACGAGAGCCCCGGCGCTCGTTGTTCAGCGCCCCGGCCCTTCAGTTGGTTTCGTTGGATTCCCTGTGATGCTTTTGTTGCGGCGCGCACGGGGAGCCGCTCCGTGCTCCCCCTCTCTCAAAGCGGGGCTGCCCCGCTTTGATCTCCGAGCGCCTCCTGCCCCTGCCCGGGCGCTGCCACCGCGGCACGGCGTGCCCTGCATGCCCTGCATGCCCTGGGCATCTCCCTGCACCCCTGCATGCCCTGCATCCCCTGCATTTCTGTGGCTCTGTGCCCCCAGATATCCGGAATTTCTGCGTTTCCCTCTCCGTGCCAGCCCTTGCTGGAGCTCAGCCAGCCCTGGATGAACTCCCCCGCTCCCAGCGGGGCTGTGCGGGAGCCGCGGGAGCTCCGGAGGTGTCGCGGGGCTGCCGCGCCCTCCCTCGGTGCCCAATGTCCCCCGGGGACACGCGCGGGTGGCAGCGGCAGCGGCTGCCGGGGCGATGCGGGCCGGGGTCCGTCAGCGTCCATCGGGGAACGGCTCCGGGACCGATCTCGTTCCAGCGGGGTCGGGATCCGCCCCACAGCGGGGCTGCCGGGGCGCCGGGGCAGCGATAACGGCGCTTATCAGCTCCGGCAGCCGCTGAGGCAGCGCCGGCATCGCCCTCCGGCCCGGCCGGGGCTGCTGGGCGGGATCCGAGCCCATTCCCGCTGATCCAGCCCCCGGGAACCCCCGATTCTCCGGGAACCCCCAAATTCCCCCCAAAAACCCCGATTCCCTGGGAATTCCTCCATTCCCCATGAACCCCTCTATTCCCCTCACCGGGAACCCCCCTATTCACCCGGAACCCCCTGGAACATCTCAGTTCCCCGGGACCTCCCGATTCCCAGGGAATTTCTCCTTTCTGCCGCCCCTCCCATTCCCACGGGAGCACTGGCAGCCGGTCCAGTTGAACCCCGTTATTCCCATTGCTTTCCAATTGCTGGGAATGACCCGGGAGAGGGAGCTGGGAGGGCTCAGCGAGGCTGGGAATGCTCTGGGAGGGCTCAGGTGTCTGATTTCCCTGCAATGTTTCAATATTTACTGTCCCCACCTGGCACTGCTGGATGGGGTCAGGATGCTGCTTTCCCAGGGCCTGCAGTTCCCAAATTTCAGCTCCAGTTCCCAAATTTCAGCTCCAGTTCCCATTTAAGCTGTGACCCACGGTGCTTTGGAGCTGCAGCAGGCCTGGAAAAGGCAGAGGTTTTGGTTTTATTGCAGAGCACAAACTCGGCTCCGTTTTCTTCCTGCTCATCTTTCAACCCTCCTCAGGTTCTCCTTCCCCAGCGAGCTTTGCTGCCAGCCTCCCCTTGCAATCCATCACCATTCCCGAGTTTAGCAATGGGATGTGAGACAGATCCAGGCAGGAAAACCCCTGGAACAGAAGAACATTCTCAGTGTCTCTGCAGCTGGGGAGCAGAGAGGGTGGAAATTTCCCAGCACGAGAAAGAAAGAAAAAAACAAAAAAAGAAAGAAATTTCAAATTCCCTGCTATAAAACCCAGTGGGAAAAGCAGAAAGCAGCAGCACACAGGGTGGTGAGAGGGGCTGGGGACTCGGAGCAGCTCATTCATGCCAGGGGATCCCAGCCAGCACCTGCACATCGTTCATCTTCCTTTATTGTCCTTTTAATGCAGAGCCCGACACCCCCTTTGCGTGGAGACATTTTCCAGGCCTTGCTGAGGCTTGGGAACGCTGCTGGCCCTGTCTCCTGGCCAGACAAACAGGCCAGGAGAGGGATTTGGGGGCAGGGAGGGGATTGAAGTGTTTTCCCCATCAGAACCTCCCTTGGGTTGTGCCTTTGTGATCCAAACCCAGATTTTCTGGAATTGCACCTTGGCACTGCCCAGCCCCGAGGAACCACTGGAGTTTGGGTCTGAAAATCAGGATTTTCTCCCACTTGCAGGGTATTTTTGTCCTCACAGCCTTCACCCTGAGCTGGGAGAGGCAGTGCTGGTCCCCAGATCCCCTTCCCAGTGGGGCCCTGCTGGGATCCAGCGCCCAGCACAGGGGCAGAGCCCCATGGAGTGGAGGACTGGCTCGTCCCCGAGGCTGGGAGGGCTGGGAATGGGGATAATCTTGTCCCCAGCCCTGGGAGGGGGCAGCAGGTGTGCTGTGACACGTTTGGGGCTAATCCCTTGTCCTTATTTTCTCCTCAGCGTGGGAAAGCAAATCGCTGCTTTTAATCCCATTTTTGCAGCTCCTGCTCCAGGGGGGAGCAGCCCCAGGTGAGGAGGGGGCTCGGAGTGAACCCACAGGTGGGATTGGGGCACACAGGGGATGGTGACAACGCTGGGGACATGGGGTGACACGGCAGGGAAGGGAAGGAACAGCCCCAGGGGCTCCTCCGGGATGGGATGGGAATGGGAATGGGTTGGAAATGGATGGGAATGGATGAGAGGAATGGATAGAATGGGAATGGATGGGATTTAAGGCCCTTCCACCCCAAACCACTGCATGACTCCACGATATGGACTGTGGTGTGGATTTTCTCTCACCTGTGCGTGCCGAACCTGAATTTTAGCACCGACAGAGGCTCCTGCACCTCTCACCCCTCCCTGACCTCGATCCCAGCAGAGCCTGGATCCCCAAAATTGCCAGAACAGGGAGGGAATAAAAGGGGAGAGGAGAAAAAAGGGGAGGGGAGATAAAAGGAGAGAAGATAAAAACGGGGAGCTGCCCTTTGCCCAGCTCTGCCCTCCCGTGTCCTTGTCCCCGGTGACCCCAGAGCCTCCCCCTCCCCATCCCCGTGCCCGGGACTCCTCTCCTCCCTCCGCAGCTCCCCCCGCAGCCGCGATTTGCAGCTCCAGACGCGTCCTGCGGCCACACGCGCAGCCAGTGATCACTGTGAGTCTGCCACCAGCCTGGCTGGCTCCGGGCACGGGCGGTGCCACCGCTGTCACCCCCCCGGGGCCGGGCTGGCCCTGCCCCACCCCCGGGAGGCTCCCGGGCCGCGGGGATTGGGGAGCAGCGGGCATTGGGGAGCAGCGGGGATTGGGGAGCAGCGGGCATTGGGGAGGGAGCAGCGGGGATTGGGGAGCAGCGGGCATTGGGGAGCAGCGGGCATTGGGGAGGGAGCAGCGGGCATTGGGGAGCAGCGGGGATTGAGGAGCAGCGGGCATTGGGGAGCAGCGGGGATTGAGGAGCAGCGGGCATTGGGGAGCAGCGGGCATTGGGGAGCAGCGGGCATTGAGGAGCAGCGGGCATTGGGGAGGGAGCAGCGGGCATTGGGGAGCAGCGGGCATTGGGGAGCAGCGGGGATTGAGGAGCAGCGGGCATTGGGGAGCAGCGGGCATTGGGGAGGGAGCAGCGGGGATTGGGGAGCAGCGGGCATTGGGGAGCAGCGGGGATTGAGGAGCAGCGGGCATTGGGGAGCAGCGGGCATTGGGGAGGGAGCAGCGGGCATTGGGGAGCAGCGGGCATTGGGGAGCAGCGGGGATTGAGGAGCAGCGGGCATTGGGGAGCAGCGGGCATTGGGGAGGGAGCAGCGGGCATTGGGGAGCAGCGGGCATTGGGGAGCAGCGGGGATTGAGGAGCAGCGGGCATTGAGGAGCAGCGGGCATTGGGGAGCAGCGGGCATTGGGGAGCAGCGGGGATTGAGGAGCAGCGGGCATTGAGGAGCAGCGGGCATTGGGGAGGGAGCAGCGGGCATTGGGGAGCAGCGGGCATTGGGGAGCAGCGGGCATTGGGGAGGGAGCACATTGGGGAGCAGCGGGCATTGAGGAGCAGCGGGCATTGGGGAGCAGCGGGCATTGGGGAGCAGCGGGGATTGAGGAGCAGCGGGCATTGGGGAGCAGCGGGCATTGGGGAGCAGCGGGGATTGAGGAGCAGCGGGCATTGGGGAGCAGCGGGCATTGAGGAGCAGCGGGCATTGGGGAGGGAGCAGCGGGGATTGGGGAGCAGCGGGCATTGGGGAGGGAGCAGCGGGGATTGGGGAGCAGCGGGCATTGGGGAGCAGCGGGCATTGGGGAGCAGCGGGGATTGAGGAGCAGCGGGCATTGGGGAGGGAGCACCGGGGATTGAGGAGCAGCGGGCATTGGGGAGGGAGCAGCGGGGACTGGGGAGGGAGCAGCGGGCATTGGGGAGCAGCGGGCATTGAGGAGCAGCGGGCATTGAGGAGCAGCGGGCATTGGGGAGGGAGCAGCGGGGATTGAGGAGCAGCGGGCATTGGGGAGCAGCGGGCATTGGGGAGGGAGCAGCGGGCATTGGGGAGCAGCGGGCATTGGGGAGCAGCGGGCATTGGGGAGGGAGCAGCGGGGACTGGGGAGGGAGCAGCGGGGATTGGGGAGCAGCGGGCATTGGGGAGCAGCGGGGATTGAGGAGCAGCGGGCATTGGGGAGCAGCGGGCATTGGGGAGGGAGCAGCGGGCATTGGGGAGCAGCGGGCATTGGGGAGGGAGCAGCGGGGACTGGGGAGGGAGCAGCGGGGATTGAGGAGCAGCGGCGCTCCTGCAGCCCCACACGGGCTGGAACGTGACTGCGCAGGGTGGGTGGGATGGGAGCGGCACGACCCGGAGCCGGCGGAGCGTGGGCAGCATCCCGGGGATGATTAATGCGGGGGGAGGCGGAGAGAGCCCCAGCCCGAGGGAGGGATGGCAGAGACGGCGACAGCGACAGCGAGGACCCGCCCGCAGTCACGGCCAGAGCTCCCCCCTCGGGAGATGACAAACCGGGTTCGCCACCTGCTCCCACCTCTGCTGACTCACACATGGGGTACCTGCGCTCCCACGCCGAGATTTGCCGGGGTTTGTTTATTGGGGGACCGTAACGCACAGGAGAAAATGGAAAATCTCCTGTCGCAGCCGAGGGGGCTCTGGCTCCCGCCGGGCGGGATTCCCGGTGGGCTCATTCCCGGTGGGCTCTGCAGCCGCCCCCTCCCCAGCGCGGCTGCGTTTGGAACAGAGGAACATCGGCGGCTCCTGAGGGTCCCATCCCGGCCGGCTGAGGGGGAGCAGCGCGGGCAGGGACGGAGCTGTCCCCGAGCCATCCCCGAGCCGTCCCCGAGCCGTCCCCGAGCCGCGGCCGGGCTGCGAGTGCCCCCGCGCGGTGCCGGGACTGGGATGGAGCCGGGAAAGGGGCGGAGGTGGGAGGGATGCAAAGAAGCAAGGATGGATGGATGGATGGATGGATGGATGGATGGATGGATGGATGGAGATGGGATTTTGGAGGTGTTTTCCAGCCTTCCCTCCTCCAGGCTGTTCCAGCCAGAATTCCCAGTGGGGATCCCAGAAGCTCCTGCAGGGCAGGGGGAGCTGGGAATGCCCCATTGCCCCTTCCCTGCGGGCAAACCCAGCAGTTCCACCCAACCAGCAGGGACAGAGGGAATTCTGCAGGGAAGGGGCTGCGGTGCCTCCACCCCCGGGACTGGATTGAACCCGATCCTCATTAGCCTGAAACCCATTTCAATTCAGCCAGGCCGGGCTCCTCCTTTGTCTTTCCTTTAATTGGTCGTTCCGCTGCTAAATGGGCAGCTTGAGCACGGCCAAGGCCCTGAGAAAAGGGGTTGGGAAGTGCAGGAATAACAGAATTCCTGATAAATAAGGGGAATTAAAAGGCTCTTCCTCTTTGTGGCCACCCCTGATTCCCGGTGCTCACCCCCCATCCATTTCTCCCCCTCTGTGGGGTTTCATGGGCCCTGTCCCCATTCCTGTCCCCATTCCCAATCCCCATTCCCAATCCCAATCCTCATTCCCCATTCCCCATTCCCAATCCCCATCCCCTGCCCCTTGTCCTTCCTCTCCTCCCTTTGGCCTTTGTGCCCGCCCTGTAAATTCCTCCCTAAAAGGAGAATATTGGCAATTCTCTGTTCTTTATCTCATCCTCTGCTCCCTGGGATTTCTCTCCTTCACCCTCTCGTGTTATTTTTTAATTCAGGATTTTTAATTTAGGATTTTTCCACCTCATTTTTCCCCCCTTGTGCTCTTCACCTCCATTTTCCCTGCGCCTTTTTTTCCTCAAAAAAATCCTTTCCTGTCACCCCCTGTGTCCCTTCCAGTGACCCTTTGGAGGCCACCACGGGCCCAGCAAAACTCCTCAGTCTCAGAAGGGGAATGCGTGAAGCAACTGGGGACCCAAACATCAATTAATTAATTAATTAATTGGGCTCTCACGAACAAATTAATTGGCCGACACCAATAAATTAATTCTGCGCCCATGCATAAATTAATTGGGTGGCCATGCACGGAACAGCTGTGATGTAATTGGGCATTCATGCATTAATTAATTGGGCGCGCGTGCATGACGTCATTGGGCGCTCATGCACATGTTAATTGGGCAGCCATGCATAAATTAATTGGGCGCCCAGGTGTGATGCCAAGGTGGTCCTAAGGAGTGCGGCCTAATTAAGCAATCAGACATGAATTAATTACTGGGGCTCATCAGGTGCCATGCCTGGGCTAATTGGGCCCCCGTACATAAATTAGCGGGGGTGGAGCTTTGGAGTACAGGGGGGTGTGGGGGTGGGAAGGGCCCAAATCCCACAGGGAATGGCCCGGCTGGAGCTGCTGGAGCTGTGGTTCCCTCCCAGGAGGGGTTTGGGATACCCCAAATTCCCTTTTTGGGGTTTGGGCAGCAGGAATTCCCAAGCATTCCCTTCTCCAGGCGCGTTCCTGAGCTGTCCGTGATGGAGAGGTCAGGGCTCAGCTGCAAATTTGGGAATCTTCATTAATCAATCCATAATTCTCATTTCAGGGGTCATCCGCAGCCTCTGGAGCCTCCCCTGTTTTCAGGAATCTGAGAAAATCCCGCCCAGGCCTTCAAACCAACTCAGCGGCACTTGGGGAGGGAAAAGCTCAGTAAATTACACTTAATTAGCATTTAATTAATGCATTTGATGGCTTCCTGTGTTTCCATGCAGCGCCCTGGATCTGCCTGCAGGAGAGGCTCCAGAAATTGTGGAGGTGGAAATTGGGAACATTTCTGTGTCTTCCAGGGGGTTGGGTCCCTTTTCCACCTTTGCTATGGGCTGGGAATCCCGGGATGGTGGTGGCTGTCCCGCAAATAAATTATGAATAAAATTATGATATAATTTATAAAATAACTTATTAAAAATTCTTATAAATTTATAAAATAATTTATAAACAAAATTAATATAAAATTTATAACATAATTTATAAAAAATTATAAATACAGTTTATAAAAATTATAAATAAAATTTATAAAAGAATTTATAAATAAAAATCGGATAGAATTTATAACATAATTTATAAATAAAATTTTTATAAAATTTATTTTTAAAATATAAACAAAAAATTTAAAATAGAATTTATAAAATAATTTCTAAATAAAATTCTTGTAAAATCTATTAAATAATTTACAAATAAAATTCGTAAAAAATTTTAAAATTAAATCCTGATAGAATTTAAAAAACATTCCCGTGGGAGGTCGGCATTGCACCCCAGCCCCTCCATCCTCTCTCTCCAAACAGCTCACGACCGCCGCTCTTATTTATTTTTTTTTCCCCCCTTTTCCATATGGTGCCCAGCCCGCCTCGGGCCGGTCCCGGCTGCAGCCAGCTGGGAGCGGAGGGGGAGCAGAGGGGGAACAGAGGGGGAACGGAGGGAACAGAGCGGGAGCAGGCCCCGGGCCCGGCAGAGGCGCAGCGGGACGGGAGAGGGCTGCGGGGCCGCGAGCGTCTCCCTGGAAACCGCAGCGTGGGAGCCGCGGAGAGCGCGGGCCTGGCCCGGCCCCGGCCTCAGGCCCGGCCCCTGCCTCAGGGCCTGCCTCAGGGCCCGCCCCGGCCTCAGGCCCTGCCTCAGGGCCTGCCCCTGCCTCAGGGCCTGCCCCGGCCTCAGGCCCTGCCTCAGGCCCGGCCCCGGCCTCAGGGCCTGCCCCTGCCTCGCGCCCTGTCCCGGCCTCCTTCCCTCCCCTGCTCTGGAATTCCTCCCTCATCACCGTCCCTGCCCTGTCCCTATCCCTGCCTCCGCTGCCCTGGAATTCCTCCCTCATCCCTGTCCTGTCCCTGTCCCTGTATCCGGCTGTTTTGGAATTCCTCCCTCACCTCTGTCCCCTGTCCCTGTATCCGGCTGTTTTGGAATTCCCGCCTCGCCTCCCGCCCCAGAGCGCGGCCTTTTGTGGGTTTCTGGCTCAGCAAAGCTCGGGTTTAACTCAGCTGGAACTTGTGGGGGAGCCGAGGGGGAGAGAGGGACGGAGGTCATGGGAAGGGGAACCTCGGCAAAAGCAGAGTGGGTAAAAGGCTTTGCATCCCATTTCCTCCTCCTTGGTTCTTCCAAAAAAACCCCAACCAACCAAAAAAAAAAACCAACCAAAAAAAAACAAACACCCCACCCAACCCCTCCAAGAAGTGGGAATTCCTCTGAAGGAAGGGCATCCAGGCTTTTCCCCAGTAATGGAAGCACCCCTGGAGCTCCATGCAGCCCCATCCTTTCCCTGCTCCCTTTTTATCCTTCCCTCCTCTCTATTTTTCTCCTTTTTTTTTCTTTTTTTTCTTTTTTTTTCTTTTTTTTTCTTTTTTTTTTTCTTTTCTTTTCTTTTTTTTTTTTAGTTATTCGAGAAATTAATTTTAAAACCCGGAATCACTTCTCCCTTCTGGCGGGATTAATCCCCTCACCATTCAGAGCAGGAAACAGAGGAGGGGTTTTATTTTAATTTTCTTTTTTTTATTTTTTTAATTCCAGCTCGGAGAGCCCCCGGCTCTGAATGACCCCTGAATGAGGAGCCTCTCAATTAAAAGTTTCCCACTGACGCCGCCTCAATGCGAGCGCGCTGAGGAATTCTCCGCGCCTCAATGGCCCCGGCCCTCGGCGAGTGTTGAGGGGCCGGTGGATTTCCCACAATGTTTGTACACCTTCCTTTGTGGGGATTTTTCCCTCCGCTGAACCAGAAACCTTTAACACATCCGCTCCCGGCGTGCCGCTCGTTGGGGACAGCGGGGACAGCGGTGCCACCGCCTCGGGGTGATCGCGCCGAGCTGGGAATTCCATGGGAAAATTGAATTTTCGGGAGCGAGAGGAGCTCTGCGCCACCCCAGGGCGAACCCCTGGGTCGGGGAAGGGTTTTGGTGGCGCTTTGTGGCGCTTTGGTGGCACTTTGTCACGCTTTGGTGGCATTTCGGTGGCCCCAGGGAAAGCAGAGCCTCCCCTTCCGTTCCCGCCGCACAAAGGGGGCTCAATTCGGGGACAAAAAGCCCCCGGGACATTTCAGCACGGCCGAGGGCCCGGCTGACAGCGCTGATTGTCGCGGCCTCATTAACCATGCTAATTAGCGGGCTGCTGGGGGTGGGCCCTGCATAATTTATTCGGTTTAATCTCATTAAAGGCGGGTGAAAAGCGGGACGGGGAGTGCGGGGAGCCACGGGAGGAGCTGCTCCCGCTCCGTGGGACGCGTCCCGGTGCTCCAGGGGGGACAGGAGGGGTGGAGGAGGGAGCTGAGGATGCTCGGGGGTTATTCCCATCATAGGTGGGAAATTCAGGAGTTATTCCCATCCCAGGAGGGAAATAAAGGAGTTTTTCCCATCCTAGGAGGGGAATCCAGAGGTTATCCCCATCCTAGGAGGGAAATCATGCAGTTATTCCCATTC